GATGCGTTAAATTGTGTTATTTTTGCCCCAGTAGCCACGGCCGATAAAAGTTTACGCAAAGACGGAATATTCCACAATACAACCGAATGTATTTGTCTGTGAATGCGGTTAAATCATGTAGATATTTCACAGGTAACCTGTGATCATTTTACGGTGAAATACTAACGGTTTGTCCATCGTTGTAGGAACAATGTGAGTTAATGGCGTTGGAGTGGACATTACATTTTAGAAAAACAGTTTCTGTATGAGAACGTGCGTGTGAATCGATCGGTGTGCAGTAACGCGTAGGCTGTGTGCTAAACTTATAATAATGTGGGAAATTTAATGGCGGCATTTACTTTCTCAAACACAACGTAGATCTTAGTTATAGAAGTAGTTTCTTGTTTAGCTACTTTGAAATTAATGAATTTATTCAATTATTTAAATGTAGGTTTTACACTGAAAATCATGGCAACGCTTAAGCCACTGACACACGCGTTCCAGTCACTCTGTAACTGTTCACGGTAACTTATAGTAATCATATTCCACAAAGTTCAAGTGCAAATCAATGCCCAATGTTTTTGATGCATGAATGTATAATATTTTATACATTATGATGCGCGCAGTACGGCAACAATAGCGCCTATAGATGTTATTCTGTACAAGAAGAGGTGAATTGTGATTTAATAATTGTCTATTGTCAACGTATCGTTTTGCAATAAATTTGTAATAACAAGGCATTGTTAACTCTCAATTATTTCGCCAGTGTTTCTTTTACGTTCACAGTTCAGTTGTAGTGGGCAATGATATGTACTGTACATATCGGGAGTAGCTTAGTGTAGAATAAATTATATTCGTCTAATATATATATCTATCTATCTATCAATCTATTTATCTATCTATTCATCTATCTATCTATCTATCTATCTATCTATCTATCTATCTATCTATCTATCTATCTAATATATATATATATAGACTATATATATATATAAGAAATTAAATAGTAACAATAATCGTATATGCGTCGAGCTCTGCCGTGCGGCGTGCGTGCGTCGCGTGCGGTTGTGTGTGTAGATAGTATAGTTAATAGCCGAGTCATGTCCACAAAGCTATTCACCGCAACACTAAATGCCAGGCCCTACGGACGCGGGCAGCGTAACCGAGAATCAGCTTATTACCCCTGAACTGAAGAGTAACATACGCGCGCCACTCTATCGTGCTCTAATTCCTTTATCCGCTGAGAGCCGTATAGAGAAAAAAAAACCAGATCTACATTTGTTTAAAACATCAACTTTTTTGCACAAACACGCTGGGAGCACGACCGACGCGTTCAAAAGTCGAATATAAGAGATGAGGCATAACTATTATATACCGTATCGTTTTTCCGAGAGAACAACCAGGGCCCTCACACGCGCGTCCGACGCGGCCGCCGTACACGTACAGAGGCGCACTAAGAGGGTCAGTTCTGCATTTCGTACTGTGCAAACTTACCCCACATATCCTTACAACGTCTCATCTGGATAGCGTTGGCTCTACACCAACCATTGTAGCACACCCCGCGACGACCCAGATATGCAGCAAATACGCGGTAACGTCCAGCACTTCGACGAAGGTAAGCAGAGAAGAAGTACCGATGCAGAGACCAAACAGCCGCCACTCCGCCGAAAGCTCACCCACTCAACAAGCACCACAGAAGGCACGTCACTGATATAACAAATACACACCCGCAGGAGCAAGATATTCACATGAAAAAATAGCACAACTAAAACACCCCTATAACAAATTAACCCGTCACCCACTCAACAAATCCACATCTACCATCCCACCAACGACCAAGTACACATAACACTGCTAAGAACCGCTGCGACAAAAGATACAGCGAACAAGCTGCACCCTGTTATAAATAATCACAGCGCAGCTTGCCAGCAGCTATGATATAAGTAAACATATAAAAATAAGAAACCAATATAATATATATATAGAACGCTGATAAAAGCATCCGCTCCTTGAGATGACAGTGCCGTTCTGATGCGCTTACAGTTCTCGTTACGCCACCTGTTATGCTACTAACGTGTATGCCTTCTGCATTTTTGTTCTCTGAACTCAATATCTTTAATAATAAAGCACTGGATCTGAAGAAAGTTGGATCTAGAAAAAGAGTGTCATCATAGATATAAAATGTACATTAGTTACACGACAACTAAATAAAATGCATTAAGTGAGTAATATCTACCTTATTTAGAGTCACCACATAATACACTACAGGTAAACGCTGTACCTCGAGAGGTTCACACCAAATATACTCCGATGCTAGGAATATACTGAAGTTCGGCACGCATTTGCGAAAAATCGATTGAGTTGAGCATGTAATAGCACATATAACAAAGGGCGATGCGGCCTAAAGGAGGCAATTCGAGATATACCGCTTCAACTCCACGAGCGGCACAGATAAATCCGCGGTGTGATTCAAGATTTTATTGTGTCGGCCGATATAACGGCAAGTGTATGACTTACAAGCCGACTAATCGCCGGCGATCAAATACGAAATAAATCGCACACCTTCCGGCGTCTACTGGGCAGAAATATGTGCTGTCAACCGAAGTCTCGGGAATCATAGGAACGCATCGTACAGTACGATTTCCTATAAGAACCCCCCAATGCGGCACCAGAACCACTTTTCAATGCACGACTCGCTGAGGTGTCGAGCCACACTGCCATGTCCCTGCGCACGCAAGACCTTCCTCTACGCCATGTCAGGCAATGAGTCCATGCAAATTAAACACGGAACATATAAGCGGCTCTAATGAACAAGTAACAATTAACACGAAGTAACAAAGCGTGCCGAGAAATATTGCTCGCCTAAAGTCGGCCCGTATTCAAACAAAAGACAGACAGCCATATTCGAGTTACGCGAGGCAATAATGGCGGTGATTATCGTGTGCGAATCAGTGAGTGAAAGTAGCAGTACAGGACTTGAAATGTTATAATGAAAGCTGAAGCAATGGTACTAACGCTCCGTAATGATGTCTGCCGCGAGTACAGTGCTGATGAAATTGTCAACACTCGATACGTCGACGAAAACGCACGCAAACAAGTGACAATTTCAGAATGAACATAAGCGCTGGGTTACACGCAACACTTAGTTGGCGAATTGCCGAATCTGCCGGAGTGCCGAATGCCGAGGAATGCGATTAGAAACAAGTCTAATCCCCAACTAGCTGCATCCGATCGTCGACGTGCAAACTGCGGTTGCGATGTCAGTGTCGAAATGCACAGGTGTACAACGGCAATCGCACGGCACAAGACACAGAACACAAAGCTTCAGTGTAAACCCAGACTAGCGAAGGATCGCTTTCGGCTTAGGCAATGTCCCTTACATTTTAATAGAATTAAATAGAAAATTCCATATAGTATTTATTAAATATAATAATTTTCTGGGAAACATTTTCTAACAGATGATTTCTCAAATGGTAAACGAGAATTGCTTAGACAGAGAAGTAAAATAAACAAAGAGATTGCGTTTACTTTGCACGCGACACACGAAGTGTTGGTCTCAACTATCAGTGTAAAGGCATCCTAACCGCGCAAATGCACACCGGACAGACGCGAAACAAAAAAATCGGAATGCCGACTGATAATAACCATCGGAGCATAGACACCGCAAAGACAACCACACTCGCTTCTATAGCACCCCGAAAATAATAATAATGCTGAATATTGCATTATGTACCGAAACCGTACGTTACAACAATATGACTGTTGTTTGAGTTGCCATAAGGCTACACAATTTGTCCCAGCGAGAGTTATTCATGTCTATTTAGGAAAGAGTTTCGCACTTGAGCATGACTTCCATGTGATCACAATAACTAACAAATTGCTTTGAGTAGCCGTACAAAGCGCAACAAGGAATATCAAAACCACAAAATGGTGGATTCGGTGGGTGAATGGCAACTGCGGAAATGATGAGTTAAGGCCCCGATGAGTACAGAAAGCCGTCAAAATTACATGTGGCGCCAGATTCAGGTCTATGAGGCAATGCGCAACACAGGCAACCAGCGCAATCGCACACTAACGTACCACACAAGTACACACACCCACATCACGCACACACTAACACATCACACCACACACACCACACACACACGCACGGCCACAGTGTCACGCACACCACACACGCACACACACACAAAAGTCTGGGTCCCACTGGGCACACCGCGCCACACACCATCGCGTCGTGTCTCAACACACCCACACACATGCGTGCTCCATGCAGAGCACCGCCGGCGCGCTGCGCAAGCGCACACACACATCACAACACCATAGGCGCACACGCGCCGATACTTAGCGCGTATCGCGCACCTTCCCGTGACGACGGGGGGCTCAGCACACAGCATATATATATCACTACTAATAAATTATACGACACAATGGGCGCGCGCAGCGCACGCGACATCCCGTTGCGCGAACAGCGCCACCGCACACGGCACTAACCAGCACCATAGCTCATAACGTCAGCGAGAGACTAGCAAAATGCAAAACCCGCTAGTAATGAGTAACAAGGAAGTCAGAAAGAATTGAGGCGCGCGCTAGAGAGAATATCTGTATTAGAATAATATATATACACCGCTAAAAGAGAAATGTATTTGAGGAAAATATAAACCTCGCTAGAAGAAAAGGTATGAGAATAAAATAGGACCCCGCTAGAAGAGAATAGGTAGAGAATAATATCAGACCCACCGCTAAAGGAAATATGGTATTGAAATGAAATATATAGACCGCCGCTAGATAAGAGAATATGGTATGTGAGAATAATATAGACCGCAGCGCTAGAAGGAAAATATGGTATTGAGAATAATATATCCCCGCTAGACAGAGAATATGGTATTGAGAAGCTATAACCCCGCCGCATAAAGAGTATCTTATAGAGAAGCAGTCTCAGAGATAAACAGAGAATAATATAAATTGCAGCAGTCAATGGCCGCTAGTCGTAGACGCGATTATGTGTAAACGATACTTACTAGCAGTGTTGCATAATCTACTTGACGTGTCATCAAGATCGACGTACTGGTAAGGTATACAATCGCATTCGTCCATAATTCGTGACTTGGCGCACGCAAACACACAACCCTTGAATAGATGATAGTCACTAATCACAAGTATTTCTCTATAGCACTGAGATATAGACATTACCTTTCACATTATATAATGAGGATGCCACTTTTAACGGCACGGAATGATAGAGAGTTATTGAAAATCGCAAACGTCAGTGATTGGAAAAGAGGTGCGAAGAGCCTCATATCAAAGAGCGCGGCGAACATGCAAGCATCCATAGTATGGGTTTGAGAAATAGCTGCGGTGTATTCCGCCTCCAACAAGTGATGATGTTGGTTGTTATAGTAGTAGGCAACAGCAGCGCCAGCAAGTCACATACAACTCAATACTCAATGCTCAATACTCAATTGTTAGTAAGTCAGCTGTTAATATAAATAATAAAATAATAATAAAATAATATGATATACTGTTATATACAGGTTTTGCGCTACAGCAATAACTGACTATCATAGAAACGAAGTGACGATGTACAATGAGGCATCACTAGGGTGAGAAAATATGTGGAATAGAGATATATAGATGATCCAGTCCTACTTTGAGGGAGTACGCGAATTCTTCACCGAAGTACGATTTCTCATCTTCTGGCTCATCACCGTCCGTACAGTTGCTGTCATACGGGTATTTGAGCCGCTGAATTTTTCCCTGCAACAGCAGCAACAGCAACATAATAATACATTGTAGAACTCAAACGTGTGTCTACTGAACAACTGGTAGCTTGCATATTACGACAGCAGTCAAAGCAATTCCCACATTTTTAAAGAAATGCTTTTTTTCGTATAACAGCTTCAGGGTCAACGTACGTTACGTCATAGTACACATGTTATGCGGCTAGAGCGTATATCATCTCACTGTAACTGTCGGTACTAACCCATAGAAATTACGTAGGACGTAAACACGCGCAAACTATAAAGTAAACAGATTGTCTTGTCTGCCTAGACTGTCCGCCATGTTGCCTCTTATACGACATAAATATTACAATTCGGACGTGCGCTTCACCGGGTGTTATCTGTTACTGTGTGTGGTGTGGGTATAAGCCACGATATACAGCTGATGTAGAGGCTCTGGCCTGCTCGTAGCTCACACTCCGGCTAAAATCCCGGAACACTGCACCCATCGCTGAATGTGACGCACATTCAGGATAAAAAAAAATCTAAAAAAATTAGGATATATTTCAATATGAACCAGTTTACAGTTAAAATTATAACTAAACTAGACTAACTAACTAGAGCAACTAAAACAAAACTAAAACTCGTTCATCGCTAACTATTTCTTTTCAAGATGGCGTCAACTATTCTCCCCCAACTCCCGGAAACTATCGCAGCGGATTTATGCTTTCGGGTCCTCTGTTAAAATGTCCACCTGGGTGACACCGATCGACGTCCTGGTGCCGACGGGTACGTCTATGCCGTTCTCGACGATGAACGGTGAGTGGCCGGGTTCGTGCACGCTGATTCTGGCTCCGGCAGCTTCCGTAAGGCCGGACACGTAGTTCAGCTGGTCGACGAATATCGTCAACGTCAGCCCTGCAACGGTATGATCATCAGTCACCCACCGCTGACATCCAAGGTAAGAAATACACGTTTATGCGCGCATTCTGTAAACCGCGTGCGTGCGTGCGTGCGTGTGTTTAGGGGTGCGTGCGCGCGTGCATTTGTGCGTGGGTTTATCTCTCTCTCTCTCTCTCTCTCTCTCTCTCTCTCTCTCTCCGCACGCATGTGTGTATGTATGCATGTATATAATGTATGTGCGTGTGTGGTGTTGACTGTTGAATAATGGATTAAGCAAATGGTGTATGCGTATTAGACCACAACCTTTACAGATCAGACAAATTAATTGTGAACGCACCATATCCCGCTTCCTGCCGCGGTAGAAAGGTAAATATCAACGGCACAACCATTATATGGCAGAGGAACACTGTTATGAATAATTAGCAATAATAAGGCATATGTTGTCGTAAAAATTAAAATGGCGTCTATAAACATGCTTATTGTAGATTTTGTGTGACATTCTCGATACATGTAGCTCGTGCATTGTTGGTAGCGACAAGGTTACATCAGGTGCACACGAATTGTCGCGTAGCGCAGAGGAGGCGGCATAGACGGAAATATCTGCGAGTGTTATAATCCTCCATATTGCTCGCAGATTAATGATTATTTATTAAACCAGGTAGGCTAATATATGAATTTGCTTACCTCTAGTGGCTCCGCCCTGCTTCACGAGGTATCGTAAGTTATCAGAAGCGTAGTTAAAGGTGAAACAGTTACCGTAATCGGTGGAGAGATGCAGCTTAAAGTCCCTATAAAAGAGATATCGACTATACAATAATACACAATGAAGTCTTTTATTTAATATGTCTTTTATTAATATAACTTTTATTTAATATGTCTAGCTGGTTCGCGACAGTCTTAATTATTTTAAGACTTTGGTAAGACTAAAGTTTTTGTTATAGAATTACAGTTATAGTTAATAGTTGTTTGTTGGTTTGCTGTGGTTGTTGTTGTTGTTGTTGTTGTTGTTGTTGTTGTTGTTGTTGTTGTTGTTGTTGTTGTTGTTGGTATATTGCAGTTATATCGTATTGGCGTTGCCTTTATTTTTTCAGTTATCAAACACAACCCACTACTGTTGTACGCGAGGTACCCCTGTGTTGACTTACTTCTCCATATTGCACTTGATGCCGTTGAAATAGCAGCTTATGATCATGGTGTCCATCTCTGTGCTGGCATTAATCATCTCTTGCCAGGTAAGGCTGCTTAGCACCTTCAGCAGCAGCTGCCGTCTAAGCGGCTCCCCCACTTCTGCATCGTCCTATAGAGAAAATTCGACTGATTTGGAGAATTGTAGAATGAATCCTACTGTAACGTGTGTTACACGTACGTACACGTACACGTACACGTTACACGTACACGTTACACTTACACGTTACACGTATACGTAACGTACGTGTTACGTGTACGTGTAACGTTACGTACGTTACGTTACGTACGTTACGTTACGTAACGTTACGTAACGTACGTAACGTTACACGTTATACGTTACACGTTACACGTTACACGTTACGTACGTACGTATACGTTACGGTACGTGTTACACGTGTGTAACGTACGTACAGAGGAAGAATGACGGAGAGCGAGAGAGAAAGAGAGGGACGGAAAGAGCGAGTTCTGGTGATGAGATGGGAGCCATGCAGACTGCGCTAGCGCCGACGACGATGACGATGGCGACGAGGATCGGCTGGAGATCGTGGAGAAGGAGGACTGTTGCTGACGCCGCGTCGTCAAGGCTTATCAACGGAGAGGAGAAGGACGAGAAAGAAAGAATAGATTCCGACGAAGGAAGAGAAGGATGCAGTCACACGAACGGAACAAGAACGCAAGAGATGAACGAGAC